GTTCCCCACATTCCTAAGGTCGAAAAAAGTACTTCTACCATGTTTGCTTACACCAACAGCACCAGTGCAGAAAGGCTTTGGTCAGCCTTCAGACTAGCTTATCATTTAGCCATAAATGTTTTCCACTTGCATTGTATTCCTTGAGTTTATTCTTCAAAAGTACATACAACAAATTTAATTTACTGCCCTCATTTATTTTAACAGTCCCTTTTAAGTATGACCCAATGTGTAATGAGCATTCATGAATAAATAAGAAGAGAAAAGTAAAGATATTCTTGGCTCGTCCACTGGCTCACTATTTATTTGTTTTCAGCTGCGTATGATGATTTCTCCTCGTCTACTTCTTTATGATGGCAGCCGCACTGGGTGTAAGACCCAGGGCCAGTGGCAGAGCCGTACCAGGTGCACTTAATGTTCATTGGACATTATCTCTCCTCCACCAGCCTAGCTCTTGTTCAAACAATAAGCACAAAAATTGGTTTAGACCAAAAACGAGATTTAGTAAAATCAGAAGTAAAGTGATTGTCATAAAAATATTCCTAAAAAAGAATTCTCAAAGGAACACAAAAATAAGAACAGAGCTGGGTTTCAGTTTTCCATTAGCAATTTCTTCCTCTTCTGCTATATGTGTTTTTATTTATTTTTAATTTTTGGAATGGTGTCCAACCTTTTCTGTTGGTGCAGGATGGTAAAGTGACTTCCTGTTATTTTCTGTGTAGTAGTGTCTCCTTGGAACCCTCCTTTCTGTATTGGTGTTGGAATGCAAAAACTGTCTTTGTGTGCGGCTGTTGAACATTAGTTTGTGATGCACTGAAATGAGTAAGAAACTGTTCCCTTGGCTATATTTATCGATCTGCTGGGGTTACTTTTAACTGTTATATGTTTATTTATTTTTAATCAATTTATGATTTTTAGTTAATTTATGAAAGAACACTTTTAGATCAGGAGACAAGCATGCGACGTATAAGGGAAAGGGTCAGAGAGAAGACATAGATATTGAAAACGCCTAATAAATGTTGCACAAAGTATCTTTGCCAGGCTACAAGTGTTCTGGAGCATGAAAGTTAGTAACTGCATGTGTACACATCTAGTATGTAGCTAAGTATTGGGTAGCATTACCTATACCCAACTGCTTAAAATGCTTTTGGAAGATGAGAAAACAAAGGGGAAAAAATGATATTGTGAACACGCTGTGATGAAAGAAAAAATTATAAAATTGGCTGTGAGTTTGTGACATGAGCTGCTGACCTAAGCTTGTCATTAGCCTGTGACTTTGAAAAGCCATACACCCCAATTGTTTGAAATATTTCTGAAAAACTCAAACAGCCTTTGTTTCTTGTAGGAAGGGAAAGTACTTCCTCTTCACCACCATGGGAGGACTACAGCCGCTATGGTGATGACAATGACAACGACGACTCTCTGGGTGCTAGTGAGGACACAGCCTTGCTGCGCTCCACAGCTGCAGGAACAGAAATAATAGTGACTCCTATGTCTCCTGCAGTATCAACAAACGATTTATCTAGAATGGATACGCAGGATGATGAAATGAGTGACACAATTATCATCCCATCATCCAAAATGGACCTGCTAAAGCCTGATGTGTTAATGAATGAAGATGTGTAAGAAGAAAAGAAATCTTCCTTAAGTGTTAATGACTTATTTCAACATTCCCTAATGCCATGTGAATTAATAATGTAAAGTTGAGATTGCTGTAAAAGGGAGGCAAGCTCAAATTATTAACTAGTAATGTACTCTGCAAAATGATTATCTCAGTTTTAACACACCAATGAATAAGTCATTATGGTAGGGGAATTCTATAGAAGAGTAAGAAAAACCTACAAGTATGAGTGAGTTATGCTCTGCAGAACCAAAACTTGGTCCAGAATCAAATCGAGACCACAATAGAAGAGCAAGGACTGAGGCTGAGGCAGTGTCTACTGTTCACAATCTGATTGCCTACGTTACAAAATGACGCAACCTGTGTCTATTTTGTGTTTAGTTCTTTTTTAAGTTTTTTGTTTAAGAATGGCAAGCTCAAATGCTCATCCCAACTGTGTTTTCACTTTTTATAAAAAAGCAAATTTGTAAAGTTAGAATGTTATTCATTAATTGAATAACGCAGTGAATATTTTCCAATTACAAAGTAAAGATGTACATATACTTGTATTTCTGTTAGAAATGCCAATGCATGTTTTTCATTTCTCTTGCTACTAATCGTTTAGAAATAGGAGATTTTTCAGTTGATATCATAGAGTATGAATGCTGATGAGCAGCTGTATCAAATATTAGGTGTGCCTCTGATAGCACATACTGAAAGAGTACACATACTGAGTACAACATACGAAACAATGCCTCAGGAACAGGTACCAGACAAGCAAAAGCGTTTGCAGAATGGTTCACGGTTAAGATATAGGGAATGTTATTTTAAAGGTTCATGATAAATTTTGTTTCATTTATTGAAGACCTTGCAAAAGTTAAGCGTGCAAAGGCAACTCTAAAATGCTCATCAAATATTGTGATTGAACCCCCCACATAAGCATGTAACATTCGACACATGAAATTTGCTTCATTGATTTCAATTGATCCTTCCAAAATTCAAAGCATTGAAACAAGCGCTTATTAATATAATTAACATGTCTATACTAATTAGAAATCTGGTAGATTCTTTTAGCTACCATCATGTTGCTATTTTTTTTTTCCATTTTTTTTTTACACAATATTGAACACAAACAAATGTGCTCATAGCTGCTAAGTTTAATTAAAAGGCAGATGATTGGTGCTGTGCCACTTTAAGACAATTTGAGGAAAAGCTCACCATCATCTTTCTTTATACCTATATATGTGATAATACTTCTTTCTCTCTGTACAGTGCACAAGTGTAAAATAATTGATTATTGCTTAATATGGCCACATGATATTTCTTTATGATTGATTACTATAGATAAAAGATATTTTTCCTTGTAAATTGTAAATATGTAATTCGAGGGTAACCATAGATTTGTAATTTTTTGAAAGGCATGATCTATTACTTTAAAATTTGATTGTAAATAGCAATAACAGGCTTCGTTTGGGGTTTTTTCGATCCGCCATTGGTTCTAAGCAGTTGTGATTCACCTCAAAAGAATAATAAAAAAGTTCAAAATGTCCCAACAATACAGTCAGTCATCAAGAAAAGCACAGCAAGGTTGTAGCTTGTTCTATTGTGGACTGTTTGGAGTATGATGTTGAGTCCAAACAACAGGTCTCAGTGAGAAAATTTAGGAGGAAAACGTGCAAAACAGGAGAATGTTGCATTAGATAAAGGTTTTTAGCGGTGGGACCATTCACCTACATGTCAGACCAAGAAAAAGGTACCATACTCATGGTCTACCAAGGAGACATAGATATATGACCACTTCAAGAATAGAAGCTTTCCAGGATATTAAAAGTTTAAAACTGTTTGCAGCTCAAAGTTCCCAGGCCAGTTTTTTAAAATAAAAGTAGGTTCTCTGAACACAATTTGTTCCATCCATAATTTGATCAAATGTTGTGCATGTTTGAATGATCTCAATACAACGCAAATTTCGGCTGTGCAAGTTACGATATTGGAAGTTTTATCGGTCCAGAAACAAAACCTACTTCATTTATGACAAGATTCAATCTACCAGTATTTGATTAACCTAACAGCTTTCTTGAATTTTGACTTTATAAATTGAGTCTAATATCTAAATAGAAGAATTAATAAAATAGGAAACAACTGATTCCTTAAGCTGAACTTGGTGCACGCAATCAGTAGGTTTACCAATCATAACAATTGACAATTGGATCAGATTGGGTATGATGACAGATGTCAAATAGATATTTATATATAACAAAAACCTGTTGTCCATTTTTCTTCTCCCTATTATCCTCTAGCAAATATTAGCAGCAAAAAGCAGAACAATTTTGCACCCAACCATTTCACGCACTACTTCAATAACATATAAATGTAGAGTTCAGAAACAGATACAGAAGTAGTTTCCTAGAACTAATTCTCTAAGACACATCTATATTGATGATGCAGACGAATAACTGACAAAGGATAACACTTTCTCATATTATAAAGCAGATTTGCAAAAGTAAGAAACGAATATCATCATATAACAATTATAACAAACTGGTTTCCGGCCTAGCTCAGCACAGAGAACACTAAATTTAAAGAATAATATACCCTCAAGTGAAACAGATCCACTTTAGTTCAACTATAGACTTGCTCCGAAAACAAAATATTGTGAAAAGTGCCCATCAAACATCATTGGGGGCATTGGAATATAAAAATAGGTTTGCATGATTTCAACAACGGCACATGGCTATAGAAAAAGCTTTGAACTTCCCTATATTTCTCTAAACAAATATAACAAATAACAAACTCAACTCACCTTCCTTCAAGCATCACACTCTCACATCTTTCCCAACAGCCTCTGATATATTTGAGAATCCATCAGCTCTGCGGGAGTGAAGTTTACATTGTAAGTTACATGTCATATTAATGAGCATCAACTTAATACCGGTAAATCATTTAAAAAGAAATGTAGGGATATTAATATTTACTGACCTCAATAGATTACTTAGTTCTTCTTTAATTTTAGAGATGCGAGGAGGTCCATGATATACATAGGCAGTATAAAATTGTACAAGACTTGCACCAGCACGAATTTTTTCATAAGCATCTTCACCAGTAAATATGCCTCCAACTCCAATAATAGGAACCTTGCCTGTAAGTATGAGTGAGCATTGAACACTGAATTTAAATATAAACTGTAAAACCCAGAAAAGTCTAAGTAGAAAAAAAAACAAACCTTTTGTTAAAGCATACATATCCTTAATTAATTCAGTTGAAGTGTTAGCCAAAGGTTTTCCACTCAAACCGCCGGCTTCTTCAGAAGCCAAACTCTGAAGATCCTCAGGCCTTGCGATTGTTGTATTTGAAATAATTAAGCCATCAACTTTACACTGATAACAAAGAAAAACGAACATAACAGAGTTCGACTTCAATGCTTTCGAAAGGTGACAGAATTGAGCATAAATGCAGCGATGTGATTCTATGCTTAATGCATGACAAAGTGTTATTCAAAATAGACTGAATAATACAGAAGCCATTTCAAAACAAACAAACACAGCAAGCATCACAGATTATTATGTAATAAAACAAATGAATATCTACAATACTTAACTGACCTCTTTCCGTAAAATAACATTGGCAATATCTTTTCTTTCTTGAGCAGTTAAATCAGGGGCCAGTTTTACAAGTATAGGAGGCTTTGTTGAAAGTGGCAAATTGTTTTTTGCTGACACCATAGCTGTCAGTAGTTTTTGTAGCTGGCTGCTGTTCTGCCAGTCCCGCAGCCCAGGAGTGTTTGGGCTGTACGGAAGAAAGGTATGATATTCAGTGGAGTTTTCAAATAAAATGTGCACACAGACCTGGAAAATAAGTAATTTACCTTGATATGTTGATGACTAGATAATCTGCCACAGCTCCAAACTTCATTATACCATCAACATAATCCTTTACAGGGTCACTAGATGTCTTATTTTTACCTAAATTTACACCAATAATACAATTGGTGCCCTTTTGCTTTAAGACATGAAGTCTTTCAAGCACAGCTTCATGACCCTCACTATTAAACCCATACCTAGAAAATAATATTAAATGAAACATAAGAACCTTGCATACAAAACGATTAAGTTGGGTACAATTGTTTGTTTTGACACTGACCTGTTGATAATAGCACTATCTTCTGGTAATCGAAAGACTCTAGGTTTTGGATTTCCCGGTTGAGGTAAAGGGGTCACGGAACCAATTTCAACAAACCCAAAGCCAAGACTGTGCAAGCCAGATATGGCCTCTCCCTGCTTGTCAAACCCAGCAGCCATGCCAACAGGGTTTTTGAACTGAAGGCCCCACACCTTTGAGTGCTGGAGAAATTTTTGAAATGTCATAAATGGGCAAATACTCAGTTTCAAGACTGTAACATCAGACAACGATCAGACAACAAACCAGGAATTCTGAGTCCTTGAAGTTGCTGGGAGGCAGGAGATTGTATTTTGCTGCCATCACAGCAATATTATGAGCTGTCTCTGGGTCAAAGCGATGAGTGAGAGGAATCAGACATGTTTCGTAAAACTTCTCGTTACCGGTGTAGAAGTTGTAAGCACCAAACACCGCAGCACCACCAGTGCAAACAGCAGCCATTGAGACAAGTTGTTTCTGTACAAAGTAGTAAGTGAGTTTGGTGCGCCCACAATCAGAAAACATGCGAAATACACATGTGGAAACACATACCATGGCTTTGGCTCTACTCATGATGAACACTGTAGAGGGGTGAATGAATCTGTTAAGAATGCGAAGACAACTACACGACAAGGAGACAGCTGACGGCAGAGGTTGCCTACAAACCTGTCCGGCCCGAGCAACGAACGAGCTAACTGGGAACTCCTAACCTAGAAGAGAACGAGATTTCGAGGTTCGACTAGAACGAAAGTCGGTGCTGGTAGCTTGAACCTTCCGACAAATGGTGAAGGGTCCACAGTAAGCCCCGCGAGACTCAAACCGCGGAATCACACGAGCGGTATCGCTTACAACCACTCCGCCGATGAAAACACTTCTCCCGAGGCCCGAGGATTTGTTGTGTTTTGAGAACGAGTGCCCGCATGCGCATGCGCATGCGTGTGCGTTTGCAGTGGAGCGAAGGGGAGGTATGCGAGGCAAGCGAAGGAAAACCGGCGGCAGACGGAAGATATAGGAAAAGGGGAGGGGAGCGGATCCCAAGGATCCCAAGGATCCCAAGGCGTCCGCGCTCACCGCGCTCACCGAAAGTGCCGAAAGGCGGCGGCACGGCGACTCGCTCGGGAAGGGGGTGGGGCACGTCCTGCACACACAAACGGCAGGCCACGGCAGGCTGGGCTGGATAGCTGGACGGGGCTGGACGGCCGGCCGGCCGGCCGGGCAGGTTGCAGGTTACAACACACCCACGATCACAAGGTCGAGCCGCACTCCTGTTGCCACGCTCTCTGCCCGCACGGCCTAGCCCGTGCCGATACACCGATTAAAAAGCGAACGGAGTAACTGGGGGTACACTGTAATTTGAGGGTATTTCAAATGTAAACGCCCTAAGGTGTACGGGAACCACAGCTTTTGGCATGCATTGATTCTAGACATCTTTTCCCAGCCACTCCGTGAGAGGTCCTTTGGTGTGATGTGATGTGGTGTGGGCATCCTACCCAACCAGGCCAAAGCCCATAGCACGTAGTCCGAGGCGCTTTCGTAGGACGCACTTTTTGTGGCGTCTGGGATGACATACACTATGAGATGGACCTTAAATGCCCGCCAGCGGCAGAGGCAGATCGGTCCGGGTGATTAGGACACAGCCTCGGAGCCCTTCCCGTAATCTAAATAAAATGAGTCGAAAATGTACGTGAATCGTGAATAGTCCACAAGTGGCTCACCAAGCTTATAGCACATAGACACTCAGAAAATGTTACTTTTCAACAGAAAGACATGCGACAATATTAATTTGATGCTAAAAGGAATAAACTCTTTCTTTTTCTCAAATTGTCTATCGCCCTATTTTGAAGGTAACGCCTAGAAAGTGCGTCGGTCATCTACCTTTACGAAAGTGCTATCTTTAGGCGATGCAAGGTCTCATAGCGCCTGGTAGGCAGGCAACATCTTGCCTGTTGGTCATGCATGTACTGCGGGGTGGCCTACCCTTAGTCTCGCAGGCGCCCAGCTCTCGTCATTGCCAATTATTTATCGAATGAATCTGAGAAACGGTGGTGCTTTCTAGACAATTCCTCAGAAAAGCGAGTACTGTTCTCAACTTCGGTATCAGCGTCGCAAAACTTACATGGCATACCTCGCATAGTAATGATCGTAAGCGGTAAATAACCCAATACAAATGAGCGCGCGTTCCAGTGGTATATTTTTCGGTTCGTTACACTGTAACGCATCTATTTCGGGCGTTAGGAGCACAGCAAATGCTGTCTGGGTAATCAATCACGCTCGCATATTTCGGTTTCTGCCCCCGTCTTGAAGATATTGCCCAAAAAGTAATTTATCGCATTTTTGAGCTAAAGCTTTAGGAGTCGACTCCCACATGAAATTAACGAGGGTGAAACTTATCACTCTTGAATCAGTTGTGTTATTGAGCAAGTTTCCTTTATCGATTTAAATCCATAAAAATGTTCAGCATATTTATACTTGTTTGTAACAGTGGCCATAAAATGAATGGAACAAAACAGAAACTTCTGGTATGTGAATGCATGCATGTGCAAGTAGGTAGGTGGTTTCAATTGGCATTCCTATCCTGAAGGACTCGGGTCGGGAGTGTGGGCGTTGGTCCTCGTACTGCTGCAGTTGGGTGCGGTCTGCTCCCCCCCCCCCCTCCTACGGTGCGTTGGTTCACGCTCATACTGCCCCGCGGCGGGCCCGTGAGCGAGTGTCTGGAACTGGAAGCTGGAGTAGGTGTAGTGGAATGGCGACAGGGTCACACCTCCCTCCAGCCAGGTACTGCGTGTCCTGATTGTTGAGCTTTTGCTGAGATACATTTGTCACATGCGTGAAAGGGGGAAAGGGGGTGGATAGGAGACTGGTTTTTGTCCTCGCTATGTCCTAATGGTTTTAGAGTGTACCGAGACTAGGCCTGCTCCTGAGTTTTTGAAGTCGTCTGTGCTTGTGTATATTAACCATCATGCACTTAATGTTCTTTTAGGAATGATATTTTTACACTAATTAATCATTTGTGATAATGAGAATGCCACGATTTTTTTGTAGCATAGTTGTGCTAAAGGAAACTGTGACGTAAATAATGTGACTTGTGTCACATTATTTAGAATATCATGTCACATTCTTTAGAACGTGACATACCTTCTGCACCGCTCTACCCTCAAGGGCTCAGTGCATAAGAGGCGTAGTTGTAGTTATGTCACGTGAAAACGAATGTGACATGATGTTCTAAATAATGTGACAGAGTTCACATTTTATAGAATGTGACGTCACAGTATTTTGAATAACAGTGTGTTGTGACGTTTTGTCACATTTTGCTTGTTTTAGAAAATTGTCTCCTTCTAAGGATCTCTTTTGCTGTGCACCAGTGGCTGTGTGACTACGTTATTTACTGTCGGGCAGTCGGCAGGGTGCCCGCTGCCCCAGGCTCCCCCTCCCCCATATGCCTGCCTGCCTTGCACCAAACTGGCCGACCCAAGGACTGTTCCGTTTTGTTCCGCTTGAGCCGAAAAGCGATCCAGGGCAAGCGCTACCGGGGTATCGAGGGGTATCGAACACAGCGCCAACGCCCGACAGCCCCTCCCCCCCCCCCTCCACTCTTCCCTCCCCTTCCCGCCTCTCTTATCCCCTTCCTGCCACATCGGCCCGGTGATACTCAAAGGTCAAGGATTTCAAGCGCGAACAACCGGCGGAGTTTGGACCAAGTCGTAATTTTATTTTTTCGACGTGTCGCTGACGGGGAGAAGCGAACGGGAATGGGTTTTCTGGACCACGTGCGATATGAAATATATGGAAATAATACCTCTAGCCCTAGCCTCTATAGGCTGACCGCACTTGGAGGGGTCGCACTGCGCATAAACGAGTCGGTTCTTTCAATCGTGTAGACTGTCTTCCTGCAGTTGATTTCGCTTTAGATAAATTTTACCTCGTACCAGTACGATTCGAATTTTCTCAAAACAAGTGTGTATTTGAGAAATATCAAAATCAAGCACACGAAAAATAAACTAATTGACAGGGGTCCGTAACTGTTTGCTAATCGTTAATGTTATACCCGATAACCGGTAACGCCTAGCATATGACACTTAATAGATACAAAAAAAAACATAACTTAAGAAAAACAAATAAACGTCAAGGATTTAACAAATATTAGTTGATAAGTGATAAAGTGTTATGTATTTTCTCGTGCCTGTGCGACATCTGTCACTGTCACTGAATAAACGAAAGTCGCTTTTAATGTTGAAGGAATTGGTTTCATCTCTAACATTCAGGAAATAACAAATTACTAATTAGTTAAGTTTATTTTTAAATTTTTTTGCGATTTTGTTCAACCAATCATTTTTGTTAAGTTACGGACCCCTGCTATCAAATTGTCGATTTTTTGTTATTGTGGCGGCGTGGCGGGGCGGCTGTGGTGGGGCCTGGTAGGGTGGTGTGGGGTGGGGCGGGGTGGGGCGGGTTGGGGCACGCGCTCGTATGTGGACGCAACCATATGCGCCGCCGCCAGACAAGATCTGATTAAGAAACGCACCCGGTGTGGCCGCGCCGCGCATATCCCACCCACCCACATCAACTGGATTGCTTTTTCTTTCAATGTTCGTTTTATAAGTGTTATCATTTGCCTTCCATTGCGCGCTCCAACCAAAAGCTGATAGGTTTGCGGTGATAAGCGGGTTCCCGAGCTGGTGGGCCCTGTGGCCCCTGGCCCCCCCCCTGTTCTGTTGAGGTGTGTCGCGGGGTGGAGCCCAATCTGAGAACACCTTATGCTCGACCGTGATCCGCTTATGAATTGAAAGATATCGTAGAGGTGACTGTGGCGAATGGCGCTGTGAATACTCCGCTGAAGTCTGAAAGCAATAAGACGACGAGACTACTAGTCTTATATGTATTAATTTGGGTCCCATCCATCGAGGAATAGCGATAGCATGCCGTCTACCTGGCCAAAGTCACCTTCGTGGACATTAAAGTCACCCCCGAGCGCTGTCTGCACGTCAAGGATGCCAAAAAGAACTTGACTGCCCGCCGGGCCTGTCTATGGACCGACAGACCGGAGGTCAAAGAGTCGCGTCCTGACCGTACTCCTATGTTCATACCATCGGTCGGACCGGACAGTCCAGAGGCAGAGGTCACAGCGTCGGTTCCCGGCGTCCTTTTGTTTTTACTGCACTGTGAAAAATAGTAAGTAGGTTTACAGAAAAATTTTCCTTGACGCAAGTTGAAAAATTACAATTTGTAATCGTAAAAATACATGCAGTACGTATCGACTTCAAACCGATTTACAATTTAAATTGTAATTCAAGTTTACAATTTTTTTTTTTTTGTAAAATTACGACGAATCTTTTTACAGTGGCTGTAAATGCCACATTGGGTCCCCCTTTATTAATAGATCGCGCTTGTTCTCTTACAATTAACAGTAGAGGCGATAAGAGTGGAACGTTTACCTCGACGTTTCCACACTAAATAATTGCTAATTTTCGGGACTGAGAAATTTTTTTACCACCTCCAATTTCTAACCACCAACGTCCATTCACAATCAGAAAATTTGAACCCAATGAATACACACTGGCAACTTTTGACGCGAAAAGGGATTAAGAACGCTTATTCCCCTATCAGATGAGAAATCCACCTTAATTTTTAATTTTGGAATTGTTAAGTTAAAATGAAACCTGAACGGCATCAAAAACTTGAGTGGGATTGGAGGACGTGTCTGTTTTCCTCATCCCGGAAAAAAACGGGAGCTCAGCGCCTGCGAAACTTGACGTAGGCCACCCCGCAGTACACGTATGCACTGCAGGCGGGTTGTTGCCTACTCATGGGGCGCCATGAGACCTGAGATAGGCTGAACTTTGTAGGTTTGTGGCGATTGACGGACGTTCTTTCTGGATGATCCAGCTGAGACACTTTCTGACAATCACTCTTAGTTCCTTACAAGCAGCGGTGTTCGTATT